GTGGGTCTTCGCTATCAAGGTTGGTCCTGATGGTACTATTGATCGCCTCAAAGCTCGCCTTGTAGCCAAAGGCTATACCCAAATTTTTGGGTTGGATTATGGTGATACTTTCTCTCCAGTGGCAAAGATGGTTTCGTTCGTTTATTCATTGCCATGGCTCGCTGTTCAACAATGGCCTCTTTATCAACTCGGATGTCAAAAATGCTTTCTTGAATGGCGATTTGCAAGAAGAGATTTATATGGAGCAACCTCCCGGATTTGTTGCTCGGGGGAGTCTTCTGGATTGGTATGTCGTCTTCGCAAATCTTTATATGGCCTAAAACAGTCTCCTAGGGCCTGGTTTGGAAAATTTAGCGACGTTGTTCAACAATTTGGCATGACTAGAAGTGAGGCGAGACCACTCAGTCTTTTACCGTCACTCGAATGCTTTGGATGTATCTATTTGATAGTATATGTCGATGACATTGTTCTTACAGGTAGTGACCATCATGGCATCTCTCGGATGAAACAACACCTTTGCCACCATTTTCAAACCAAAGATCTTGGCAAACTCAAATATTTCTTGGGTATTGAGGTAGCACAATCTACCGATGGCATTGTTATATCTCAAAGAAAGTATGCATTGGATATTTTGGAGGAAACTGGGTTGATGAATTCAAAGCCCGTTGACACACCCATGGATCCTAATACCAAACTCTTGCCAAATCGGGGGAGCCAATGTCGGATCCTGAACAAGTATAGAAGATTAGTTGGAAAATTAAATTATCTTACGGTTACTCGCCACGACATTTCCTTTGCGATCGGTGTGGTGAGTCAATTCCTCAATTCTCCTTGTCAAGATCATTGGAATGCGGTCATCCGTATATTGAAGTACATCAAAAAGTCTCCTGGAAAAGGTTTGGTGTATGACTCCCATAATCATACAAGAGTTGTCTCGCTATTCGGATGTCGATTGGGCGGGATCTCCTCTCGATAGAAGATCTACATCCGGGTATTGTGTTTCCATTGGTGGTAACTTGATCTCATGGAAAAGTAAGAAACAAAGTGTTGTGGCAAGATCCAGTGCGAAAGCAGAGTATAGAGCTATGACCTCGGCTACTGTGAACTTATTTGGCTCAAGCAATTGCTTAAAGAGCTACAATTTGGAGATGTCACTCAAATGACACTAGTGTGTGACAATCGGGTTGCTCTCCATATAAGCTCTAATCCTGTCTTTCATGAGAGGACTAAACACATTGAGATTGACTGCCATTTTATTCGGGAAAAGATTATGTCCGGAGACATCAAGACTGAGTTCGTTAACTCATGTGATCAATTAGCAGATATTTTCACTAAGTCTTTACGGGGACCTAGGATGGATTATCTTTGTACCAAGCTAGGCACATACGATTTGTATGCTCCAGCTTGAGGGGGAGTGTTAGATATGATTAGATATTAGTTGATATTGTTTGATATTGTTGAGATATTGTTAGATATTGTTAATCACAATATCAAATAATATCTTTTTATTTACCCTATTTGTATTCTGTTACTCTTTTGAGGAGTACCTTTCTTTATTATAAATACACTGCCCTATGTGTGGTAAATACATAAGGGAAATTAACCCTATATAGTTTTTCCCTATATTCAACATGGTATCAGAGACAAAGCCTAACATCTTTCCGGTTATTGTCATGGGCCAAAAGTTGTCCTTTAGTTGGGTCAAAAGTACCCTTTGCCTGGTCCGGCGGGCTTCGTTGGAGGGGGTGTGTTGAAAGTCCCACATCGCCTACCTCATATCATTTGGTATGATTTAAATACATGTTAGGCTACTCCACATATTGCCAATTGGTTTTATGTTGGAACATTAACAATTAGAATTGGTCACCACAATGTCATCCACATAAATAAGAAGTAAAACTATGCCTTTAGATGTTTGTTGAGGAAAAGTGATGGATCTGACTTACTTTGGTTAAATGAAAAATCAAGTAATGTGGAGAAAATTTTTTCAAACCATACTCTTGGAGATTGTTTTAATCCATAGAAAAAGTTTTGTAGTTTGCAAACCATATTTGGAGAAACTTTTGACATACCAATAGGAATTTTGATGTAAATGTCTTCCTTGAGATCATCGTATATAAAAACAATTTTTTACATCACTTGATGTAATGGCCAAAATTGTGATGCGACAAGAGTAAGGATAGTGTGTACAATGGTCATCTTTGGCAACTAGAGCAAAAGTCTCATCATAGTTGAGACCATATTTTTGTTTATTTTCAACAAAAATTAGTCGAGTCTTATAATGATCAACAAAGCCATTTGACCTTAGCTTGATAAAGAATACAAACTTGTTACCCAAAGGTTTTTCAGGTGAGGGACAAGGAACTATATCCCATGTGTGATTCTCTTTAATGGCAAGAAGTTCATCTTCTATAGCCTTTTTCCAACATTGGTTCTCCTTGACATGTTCATAAGGAGGAGGAATATAAACTGATGATAATGTTATAGTCAAGAAATTGATATACCTTTCTGTGGGTTTATGAATTCGTAGCTACGTTGTAAAAGAACTTGTTTTTGTATGAGATCAATGATCCAAATAATTTGCTATTGTCATGAATTCTTTTGACAACTTTAATTATCTATCACTCAAAGCTATCAATCCTTCAAAGTATAATTATTTAATTAACATAAAATTTGATATTTGATAAATAAGAATAGTGAACTCTGACATAACAAAATTTAATAAAGACTAATTAGGGATAAAATGGCACTAGGTGCTACAAAGATTAATGCAAAATATTTAGAAAAAGATGAAGTAAAAAATTAACCTTATGCATTTGTTAAACTAGTTGAAGAGATTGGAGTAGTCAAAATGGTTGAAGAGATTGAGGAACGGTGAGAGAAATAAAAGAGTATGCTGAATTGCTTGAAGAGATTGAGAAAAACAAAAGAGTGAAGAGTGGCCGAGAGAAAGTGAAGAGTGTGAAAATAGGAAAGAAACAACACTGAAGTGTAATGTGAGAAAGAAAGCGAAACACTTGGGGGAGAGTTAATATTTTGGAGTTTAGGTTTAAATATAAAGTTGGAGCAAAGCTTGTATTATTCATCTTTGCCCACAAACCCGATTTCTTAAGTGGAGAAAATCCGAACCTAAACACGATCAACTTGGTTTTTCCTTGCCAACCATGGGAGGGTGCAAATTGGCCCCATGAGTTTATGTTTGATTACCATCCCTAAGTGTGTAGTGATAGTTTTTATTTGTTGGAGTGTATCCTTTATACCCTTGTATTAGTACAAATGCAAAAACAAATGATATTCGATACATGTATGATAGTCTAAACATTCTTTAACACAGTTCAAATAAAACATATATCTTGTATTCCTTCTTATAAAAACAATATTATTAAATTAATAAAAAATTAGATTATTGAAATCCTAAATAAAATTACACATTGCGACATAAAGTAGAGACATGAATTTTAAAATTAATATTAGTTATTGTAGACATGATAAAATGCTATCATTTATTTAAAGCTTGAATCATTTTTGGTCACATAGTTTCATGTATGTGCAATTTTGATCTGTAAAAAGTTTTAATTGCAAATTTGGTTCTCCAATTTTCCAAAATTAAGTAATTTTGGTTTGTTGTTAATATGTCATTTGTTCTCCATTTGAGAAATCCCACATGTTTGTAAATGATAATAGTATCAGTTACTTATTCTTGTGAGATATTTATGGTAAGGTTTGAATTTAATACATGTTATTCTAATGGATAGAGTAGCACTTTCTTTTAACAATTAAATGATATATTAACGGTGGATCAAAATTGTTTAATTTTGAAAAAATGGAAGACCAAATCTGCAATTATAATTTTATAGGGACCAAAATTGCACATACGTCAAATTATATGGACCAAAAGTGGATTTAAGCTTTTATTTAACCATTGTGGTATCCTATTTTTATTGTTAGAAAAGAAGTTCAAAAAACTAGTTGAAAGGTGTGGGATGTATCTGAGAATACATGACTGGATACATTATCAGCTTTGAGTGTTGGTCTTTCTTTATTTGGATCTGAGTCTTTATATCAGTAGTGTCTGCCTATATATTCTGATGGTTGTATCTAGTTCATCTTATTCACCGATTTGGTCAATATCATCTAATTTTTCTGAATCTAACGCTTCAATTTCCCCCTCCTCCCTCCTTCCTCCTCTTCTCTGGTTCTCTTTTTTGCTCATTGTCCATGATTCCCTTTTATCAAGTAAATTGTTACTGTGTTCATTTCTGGATAGGGTAGTCTTGTGTATTGTGTACAATGTTGTTGTTTTTTCCCTGTAAATTCTTTGACATTTGGTTGTTTGCTAATTTCTCCCCCATTACATTGTAATGGTTCTCGCTTTTACAAATCAATGTTTGATTTTCCTAGCAATTTCATGTTTACATACATTATTAGACAAATATTGATATTTTTTCCCCCATGTTAAGGTATGGTAAGATTTACTATTTCTTTTTCTTTAATTTTTCAACTTTTCATGTTATTACATGCTTTGTAGTTTATTGCAACTTTTCAGTAATATTATTTAATTTTTATGATTGTATTTATTAAATTTTACATTTTTCTAAGATTTCTGGCTTTCTACTGCATTGGCCTTTGACAGCTGTGTTACTAACTTGCTAAGCGAATAGCACGATCCATGTGCCAATTGCAATGTCACATATAAAATATATTGAAAAACTTATCTAGTCTTGTTTCTCTCTGTTATACCTGCTTGTTTTGTCATGAGATTTGTGGTCAGAGTTTTCTTGTGCATATTTCCCAACATTTTCATCTCTTCTATGGTCAGCCTGGTATTAGTGTAAAAATAGGGTGACAAAGTTATGGATTGGTTTCTAATACATTTTTCCTTATGAACAGATCCATAATTTTTTCACCCTGTGCCAAACTAACCTGTCAGGAGAGTCCCCCAATTCTCATTACTCAAAATTCTATTCACACTTATACATTACAGAAAATCTACAAGTACAATGGCTTCTTCAAAAAATTTAACACAGCAAAAACTGAAGGTTCAGGGGAAAGGATACAAGGATAAATGCTATGAGCAAATAAGGAAGACTGTTGAAGAACGGTTTAACAAGCTTCTCAACGAGGTAGTCCATCTTACTGTTCTACATGTTCCCTCTCCTGCTACAAATGTACAAAATGCAGACACCAATTTGCTTGTACACCCATGAGAATTTGCTATTCTTTTAACAACTCACCTTTAATTTAATTTATGAATCAGCTTGTGTTTGAGGACTTGAAAGCAGCTTTAGAGGAAGCACGAACGGTATGTTAGACTGAATTTATGCTTTTGATCTTTTTACATTCTCTAAAAGCATTTGTAACATATCATATACTCTAATGATCAACATTTATAACTTCCTTTTAGGCAGATTGCAAAAAATTTGTATACTAATGATGAATGTTCGGACATTTTCAATTGTGCCTTTGGATACCTAGGTCAACTATATATTTGATAAGCTTAGCATATATGACACATACATATCTACTTGAAGAGTGTTGGAATATCTTTGATATTTATGATAGGATATCCTGTTTATATGGGGGAAACATAGGAGCTCAGTCAAGTATAATTTAAAATTATGAATAAATGTTAATATTTGGATAAGAATGAGTTGGGACATTTGATGGATTTGTATAACTAACTTTTAATTTAGTCATTGTATTTTAAAGCTTATGTTATGTAAAGATTGGACAATTGGGGTTTTAACTTGGCTGCACCTGCAATTCTGTTCTGGAAGGACTGCATTATAACAGTTTGCAAAACTGTAGTGACCATTCCTTGTGAAACCACATTGTTAAGTGTTGTATACAAAGTATCATTTGAGTAAACTTTCTTATATTTTAATTGGAAATGAAGGAGGAAGAAATTGCATATCCCATTTTAAATGTCATGTATACACCAAAACTTTTTTTCATGCCAGTGCAATGTCAGAATATTGTTTCAGTTATTATATTCATATTTGTATAAGCTGATATATTTTTGGGTGGAAAATTATAATCTATAATGTTAATCTCATTTTAATAATAATTTTTCTCACTCATTCTCCCCCTCCCTGTCAACTTTTGATGCACTGAGGTCAATTATACCATCTTGGTACATGGTACAAAGTAATTCCATAATTTTTCTTGAGATCTCTTCTTTACAGTATGATTGTTAATGTAATTATTCAAAATGTCACATCATTTGCAGTTTCATGTACTTGGGGTCCACTATTATTCTCTATTACTGATGGAAACTTATTTCATTTGTGGCATATAGATTGGGGAAGAGCTTGGAGATGTCTATGACTATGTAGCGCCCTGCTTTCCTCCAAGGTTTGTCTTTGAATGTACTACCATTTCAATCTTCACAGTTTTTGGACTGACTTTCTGCTAATTAAAACTGTCATTTTAAGATTTTGATGTGCTATAGTTTCTCCTGTTTCCATATGGAATGTGCTTTATATAAGAGTAGGCTTTGTTGAAATATAAGAGTAATTCAAAGACAGATAGAGAAAGAAAGAAAAACTAGAAAATGTGAGACACACATAACACAACGTTTTAGTTATTAGACTGGTTCCAAGTCATAACGGGACTTATGACTTGTTGTCTCACCAAAGTTATACATGTGTCTTATCCATAACATAATGGAGTGCAAAGGAAATCAGTCATTAATACAATCAAATCCTTAATTATATACATGTAAATTTAATATTTAATTAATTTTATTTATTAAATAATAAATATATAATACATTTTTAGTTAAATATAAATTAATTTAAAAATTTAATATACATAAAATGTTATACAAATTTAAATTAATAGTAGAGTTTAAAATGCATGCAAATTTGTGCATTGCATTCTAATTTATACATGGAAGTAACATATAAATTATAATAAATGTAACAAAACTGTGAGCCAACTTTTAGTAAAATAATACTAGTCACACCAACAAAAATCGTGTGCCAATGTTTGAGGTCATTCCAAGGGTATAAAAACGAAAAGCTTCCTTCCAAGAATAAAATTTCAGTATTTAAAAGCATTATTGTACTAATGGGTCAACAATTTGAAGATGAGAAACATTTTTTGTGTAGAGAAACCCAATATTTTAATGGGTTCCTCAGAGTTACTCTCCAATGACAAATATTGTGGTATGGATATCTTGTTACTGGGTGAATGGGAAGAGAAACTCGCATTGGAGTTGCTCTTAGAGACACAAGGACTTTCTAATTACATATTAGAGTACAAGGTGAATCAGTCAGTAATACATATACAGTAACATCTATCTTACAGATATTAACATGTGCGATTCTATTGTAACTATATCTAATACATGAACTGTTCAAATCTTATACCCTTCATATTGGATGCATGCACTATGACCTACTATTTGGTTTAGTGCAGAGCCTCCATTGTCCTTAATATTGTACCGTATCTTAACACTGTTCCTCTAATGCTTGTAGCGAAAGAAACCCAACTTAAAATAGAACACATGAAAAAAACAATGCATAATTTGTAGAACTTAATCTAGCACTTTCCAATAAAACCAATGTTGATGTTGTTGGTACATATCTCCTTATGGTCCATGCTCTTTGTTCTACTAGAGTCAGCTTGACCTTGTTATAGCTTCTCAAAGGAACACATCCTAAACCCATGATCGATCCTATCTGAGTCAAACTACAAATTTCATTTAATATAAAGAAGCATTTATTGGTAGAGGGTTTCTTTCTGTACATGTTTCATTTATTCTAATTCATTTTTTTATTCTGGCAGATATGAAATATTCCAACTAATGGTAAATCTTTACACTGAGAGGTTTATTCAGATGCTAAGATTGCTTAGCGACAGGGCGAATGAATTAACCAACATTGAGATATTAAAGGTATTTCTCTGGAGTTGTTATTTCTGTATAACATGTAACACTTATTTAGAATGCATATGTTTCCTAGATAAAGGGGATGCAGCCTTAAATTTTCCGAGGCTGGAGCATATGGGAAAATAAGTTACTGTCTTTCCAATTCATCTGTATTAAACACTAAATGGATAATGATATGATATTAACATTAAATGGATTAGAAAAGTGACTTGAAGAGTGAATTCTATTGCAATTCTCTCTTATTTCAGGATTTGAATTCAGATCCTAGAGTCAGTTCTGGTGAGAAGAGAATTAAAGTTAAAGGCTCTCAATTCCTGGATTAGAGAGCTATGTCCCCATTCTCTAGTCTCTACTTTCTTACAATTTGTTGTACCCTGCATCCTCTCCCACACCCTTATATCATCTTTTCACTTTTTTCTATCTACTTCAGCTAGAAGTCCCTAACAAATTAGTTGTTATTAACAAAAACTGACTCTATTCTTCTATATTCACTTTTGTTTGACCTAACATACAAGTATTTGTTTTAGGGGGGGTTACTAACAATAACAGATAGTCATTGTATGTAGTAAGCAAGAGGGAGGAAAATGAAAGGTCGTGTGAATGAATCTGTGTCTTGACTACACAGTGGAGGCTCTTATTATTAAGGTTGTTGACATTGTGCACAAGCTAGGGGTGACTGACGGTGACTAATAAGGTTGAGAGAGTGAGAAGGGATTTAGATTTCATGTAAAATGTACTTGTAACCCAAAGGGTAACTAAGTACAATCAACTATATATAGCTAATTAATAATAATAACAAACATAACTGAATACAATCAAGTATATAGAGCTTTAATTAGCCTGTAACAAATCTAACTTGCTTAGAGTTAGTTAGGAGGTTAGAAGAGGCTACTGTACGACTATTGTGAGAGTTAGAAATATGCTACTCCAGTACAGAAAAAGAAAATAAAGCTGTATTTGTGCTGAATAACTATACTCTAACAGTAACATACTGTAAAGCGCCTACAATGAAAGGATCCAGGGGAGAAATCCTCCACAGGGTTAGAGCCACATTTGAAAAGTGAGACCAGAAGGAAGAGGAGTAGACATAGATTTAGCATCAGTAATATGGCCTTTTGCAGCAAGTGACCAATGTATTTTGCTTGAGTGACATGAAGAGTGCCATTGGATAAATGTTTCACTTCAACTAGAAAGTAGAGCAAATTCCCCAATTGCTTAAGAGCAAAGACAGAATTCAAATTTTTGAAATGAGAGACTGAATAACTTAAGAAGATGTTCTATTAATGATTATGTCATTGACATAGTAAGAACTTATCGGCAGGCTGTGAGAGTCTTGAAAACCAATAGAGGGATCACACTCGCATTGAGTAAATCCAAAAGATAGTGCAGTCTGAGTCAAATGTTAACACTAAGCCCGAGGGGCCTTTTTAAAGCCATATATGGGCTTTTGCAAACCAAAGATCAATCAGCATTCTCAAAATCCTGGTGGTTGGGTCATGTACACATCTTCAAGATATCCATTAAAAAAAGCATTATATATCTATGTCACGGGAGAAGAGAAAGGGAGAAGATTCTGCAGAGGTATTCTTGCAATAATAATCGAATTGAGAGGAGAATCTTGGAACACCGGCAAAAACACCATTGTTCACTGTTCTTGAGATGCCAAAGTTGTTAGACAGCTTCATCGTGAGAGTCGAGGTTGCTTCTCTGAACCCCATGACAATGGCAATGACAACGTCAAAGTACTTGCTAGAGCACTAGAATTCGCCTGAGAATATGGATCTGATATCAATGCAAGTGGATCTGGATACAGAGGTCCACTGAGAAAAGGATCAGTAGCCATGATAAGGCTTGGAAAGAAATAAGAGAAACTGAAAGAAAAAAGAAAGTGAAATTTTGTTAAATTGTAAAATTCTTTGATTGCTACTGAGCTCAGTTATTTATATAAAGGAATAACTTGGGCTACAAGTTAGACCCAAGTCCAACCAAATCCATCTGTCAAAACATAATAACAACTGGCTAACCCAATTAACTCCAACTAGCATAACAGAATGACAGTTGGATAACTAACTCTGACCATGTGCTGACTCAGCAATATTCATATATAAGTATACTCTATTGCTCTGAATGTTTTTCTGAGAGAAGAATACATATATGCTTATGGTTGTTTACGAATTAGGTAACTGGCTGGGTTGTTGAATACCAAGATAATCTGATTGGGCTTGGAGTTGATGAGTCTCTAGCCCAAGTGTGCTCTGAGAGTGGTTCAATGGATCCTTTAATGAACTCTTATGTTGAGAGAATGCAAGCTACAACTAGGGTAATCCTAACTATCTTTGGTATTTATTTAGCTTTGTTTCTTGGGTAATTTCTTTATCATACAAAATACTAAGCTTTATTCTTAATGTTTTCAGAAATGGTACTTGAATATTTTGGAGGCAGATAGAACACAACCCCCAAAGAAAACTGAAGATGGGAAGTTATATACCCCTGCTGCTGTTGATCTCTTCAGGATACTTGGTGAGCAAGTACAAATTGTTCGGGATAATAGCACTGATCTCATGTTATACAGAATTGCCTTAGCAACCATTCAGGTAATATCAGATAAGATATAGATGTAGTGTAACTGATGCTTAAGCTTATAATAATACATTTATCTTTTTGAAAACTGAACTAAAGCTAACTAAGGTAAACTGGATATAACTTGGATTTTTTGAGACTTGAGTGCAACAATGTGTGTTAAAGTTTCATCATTATTGGGATAATATCTTCGGAAATCCATACTGTTCCTCACAGCAGAATATGTAGTCATTACCGCTTATATCAGTAGCTTTGTATACCTAGGTTATACTACCTGTTTTTACAGGTGATGATTGATTTTCAAGCAGCTGAAAAGAAGAGACTTGAAGAACCAGCTTCTGAAATTGGTCTGGAACCTTTATGCGCTATGGTTAGTGTAATACTTTTGCAAGTGTTTGCTTATTATTTCAGCATAGGATTGTTTTCTGTTAACATGGCATTCAACGTAACATTGTATATAGATTAACAACAATTTGCGCTGCTATGACCTTGCAATGGAACTAAGTAATAGCACCATAGAAGCCCTTCCACAGAACTATGCTGAGCAGGTTTGAACCTCTGGAATTTTTTTTGTTTTTCCTAATTTCATTAACTTAATAACTGTTTGTTGTTGACATATTCTTTGGGAACTGAAGTTCTTTTTGTTTGGAAAAATCATGTATATTCTTTCATTGATGCATGTTGTGAATGATGAGAAAACATATGTTTTGTTTTCTTATCAATCTGTCCCTTTCACAAACGAAAAAGAAACAAAAAAAACTAACGCAGCACTGAATTATTAACAAATTTGTAACAAAAGTATGACGTATTTTAAGATTTGGCTCTAAAGTTTAGGATTCTATGTTGTGTCCGTGCTCTATTGGATGCACTTAGATAATTGGTTGTGACTCCCCACTGTGCACAGCCTCCCTCCCGCAGCCAAATCATTGTTATCAAAAATTGTGTTGATTCTTTTGAAATCATTTGAATAATTGATAGAACAAATTAGTATAAAGTTGATATTAATCTTGATGGAAGAAAAGATGATGATCTTGTGTTCTTACAAACGGAAAACCCAGATTCTAGGTTCCTTAGAGAAAACGAATTCTCTTCCAAAACCACAAGGAAAATGGCTAGCTGTCCCCCATCATACCCCATTCTCCTATTAGCATACCACGAGCTAAGCTTGTATAATTAACTCTCCCCTTAGATATTTCTTTTTCTCATGTGTGTATACTACCAGCTAACTTCGTATAACTAGTTCTCCCCTTAGTGCAATTGCTGATTCATGTCTTTCACAACTTCATCATTCACATCATCTACTTGGTTCTTTATCAGCAACAAACTTGAAACTATACTATTTCAGAATTGTAACTGTAGTAATTGTCTTGAAAGAAATTTCCTATAATACCTCCCAATAGCAGCATCTTTGTTTTTAAAGGATATTGTACCTTCCTGATCAACATTTCAATTTGGTTCCTTGATTCAACCTTTTCTAAAGTTATCCATCATCATTCTCACCCAAAATTAGAACTCTTAACTTCCTTTCAAGATACCCTGGAGTGTCCAAATTGCGGGCCATATTGAAAACAATAACCTTGCTCCCTTCTCCTTCCATACTCTCAATATGGAAAATGTCAATTGCCTTGTTTTGGAGTGCTCTGATAGATATAGGTTAATATATAAAAGGAGAGAAAAACGGGTTAAAAAAAAAATAGTTGGCATTGTAAATTTTTTTTTAGGCAGAACAGACTTAGTATATAAGTCTGTCAGGGAAGGCTGAGGAGAGATAGGAAAATAGAGTTTCAGTTGTACTATCTCATAGATACGTCAATTCATATTAATAAGAGGTGTATTCAATTTAGCAGAGATATCAGACCTATCAATTGGTATCCGTAGTCTTGACTTTGGCTGTGGGAAGGGCTGCATCAAGGAATGGTTAATACAAGAATGGAGGCCATATTAGATAGCGTTGACAAGATACTTCAAGATCTTGTGAAAGAACGGGACCAGATTGAGAATCAGCTGCAAGAACGTCTCCAACGTTTGGAAGACTCGATTCGAGGGCTCACATTTGTGGTGGAATCTTTAGCGAGTAAAGAGAAAGAAACTGAAAGATTTGGGGCAAAGTCAGGGGATGGATTAAATGGTCAACCAGATTTCAACAGTTCTGTTACGGAGTCAAATTTATCTGGTTCACGTTGGAGGAAGCTAGATATACCAGTTTTTGTAGGAGACGAAGCGTATGGATGGACCAATCGTTTAGAATGTTATTTTCGATTAAAGGTTGTTTCGGAAGAGGAGAAAATGCAAGCGGTAATGGTAGCATTAGAAGGAAAGGCATTAAACTGGTTTCAATGGTGGGAAACCTGTAATCCACATCCATCTTGGGAAGCATTTAAAGTAGTAGTGGTACGACGATTCCAACCGAATATGCTCAAGAATCCCTTTGAAATCTTGATTGGATTATCTCAAAAAGGTACAGTGGAGGAATACATTGAGCAATTTGAACAGTATGCAGGATTTTTAAAAGGAATACATCAAGATTATTTGGTGGGTATCTTTTTAAATGGGTTAAAAGATGAAATCAAAGCTGAGGTCAAGTTGTATGACCCTCAAACTCTGACAGAATTAATGTGTAAGGCTCAGTTAATGGAAGAAAAAATTTTGGTGACATCAAAAGGTGTTTCTTATTCTTCTAATTCTAATGGGAATCGTTCAGCAACTGGTTCTAGTTTAGGAGGATCGGTCAATGAAGGAAAAAGTAAAAATGCAGATACTGCTAGTGTATCTAGCAGTAATAGTGGGGGGCCACGTGCTAGAGGGGCTCCTTTCAAGAAGTTGTCTGAGACAAAATTACAAGATAAATCAAGAGAGGCCTTTGTTTTCACTGTGATGAAAAATATGGTCCGTATCATGTCTGCAACAATAAACAACTTCATATGTTGTTACTGACAGAAGAAGAAATTTCTGGATTAGAGACCTCTATAGCCAACTCAGAGATCAATATGAACAGTGTGCAGGAGCCTGTTTTGCAGCTATCCTTATGTACGATGGCATGGTTAACCACTAAGAAGTCGTGGAAAATTTGGGGCAACATTGGGTCAGAAAAAGTGGTGGTGTTATTGGACTGCAGAGCCTCTCATAATTTTATTTCTTCTAATCTCATTTCCAGATGTGGGTTGCTTCGAGAAGATACACCCTCTTTTGTGGTGGAAGTAGGAGATGGTCACAAGGTTCGTTGTCAAGGGAGATGCTCCGGATTTCTTCTGGACTTACAAGGATATCAAGTGCAGCACCAATTTTATGTTTTTGATTTGAGTGGGGCTGATATTGTGTTGGGATTGGAATGATTATCAAGTTTGGGAGAAGTTAAAGCTGATTTTGGAAGATTAAGGCTAACTATTGGTAAGGGCAGTACAGAACAAATAATATCCGGAGATCCTACGTTGTCCAGGTCTCAGTCTTCGTTGAAATTTTTTTGGCATGAATGGAAGGAAGAAGGCTCTTGCTACTTACTCAAATGGGAAGAGAATTTGGAACATCTTACTACTCCAGAGATTCCTGCAGAAATAAGTAAGGTTTTGGCCATCAATGATGAAGTTTTTCAAGAATCTGAAGGCTTACCACCTAGTCGAAGCCATGACCATTCTATTCACCTACAACAAGGTGCTTCAATTCCTAATCTTAGACCATATAAATATTCTCATCAGCAGAAGAATGAGATTGAGAGATTAGTGCAAGAAATGTTGCAGGCTGGAATCATTAAGCCCAACATTAGTCCTTACTCAAGTCCTATAATATTGGTTAAGAAGAAAGATGGGGGTTGGCGTTTTTGTGTCGACTATAGAGCTTTGAATAAGATAACAATTCCTAATAAGTTTCCAATTCCGGTAATTGAGGAATTATTGGATGAGTTGGCCGGGGCAACTATATTTTCGAAGTTGGATTTGAAATCAGGGTACCACCAAATTCTAATGCGCAAATCTGATGTGGGGAAGACTGCATTCCGAACTCATGAGGGCCATTATGAGTTCTTGGTCATGCCTTTTGGGCTGACTAATGCCCTTGCAACCTTCCAGTCTCTTATGAATATCATACTTAAGCCCTATTTGAGGAAATTTGTACTTGTTTTCTTCGACGATATATTAGTGTATAGTTCTAATGTGGAACTACATGGGCAGCATTTAGAGGAGGTCCTAAAGGTATTTAAAATTCAACAATTGAAGTTGAATAAAAAAAAATGCAGTTTTGGTCAATCCAGCCTAGAGTATTTAGGCCATATTATTTCTGGAAATGGAGTATCAGCGGACCCCAAGAAGATTGAGGCAATGCAGAGTTGGCCTATTCCGAAAGATGTGTCAGCATTACGAGGATTTTTGGGTTTAACGGGATATTATCGTCGTTTTGTTCAGGGCTATGGCAAAATAGCTAAACCATTAACACAATTATTGACTAAGGATGGGTTTCATTGGAATAAAGGGGCTCAAGATGCTTTTGAACAACTCAAATCAGCTATCACTCAACTTCTTACATTGGCTGTTCCAGATTTCACTAAACCATTTATTGTGGAAACTGACGCATCTAGTAAAGGGTTAGGGGCAGTCCTAATGCAAGAAGGAAGACCATTAGCGTTTTGGAGCCAAGCACTATCAGAAAGGGGGCAGAATAAATCAGTTTATGAACGGGAACTCATGGCTGTAGTTCAAGCCATACATAAGTGGAAACATTACTTAATGGGAGGACACTTTATTGTAGTCACTGATCAGAAAAGTTTGCGATTTCTTACTGACCAACGATTGTTGACTGAGGAGGAGTTTAAATGGGCTTCAAAATTGATTGGATATGATTTTGAGATCCAATATCGTGCAGGAAAGGAAAATTCAGTGGCAGATGCATTATCGAGAAAATGATATTTTTTAGCTTTGTCTACACTCCAAAGTGAGGAATGGGAAGATTGGCAAGATGAGATGCAACAAGATTCCAAACTCACTTCCATAATTCAAGACTTGTTAGTGGATTCAACATCCCGTAAGGGTTACAAATGGGTAAAAGGAAAACTTTTCTACATGGACAAACTGGTTTTACCACGCACGTACTCATGTATTCCTGTTATAATTAAAGATTTGCATGAATCTCTATTGGGGGGGGCACAATGGATTTTTTCGAACATTTAAAAGGGTGGCAGGAGTAGTATATTGGGATGGAATGAAGAAAGACATTAAAGACTTTGTGACCCTATGTGCAGAATGTCAGAGAAATAAAACGGACACGTTGGCTCCAGCGGGGTTACTGCAACCTCTCCCTATACCCACTCAAGTTTGGTCTGATATTTCAATGGACTTTATAGGGGGATTACCTAAAGTTCAAGGGAAAGACACTATATTTGTTGTAGTTGATCGACTTACCAAATATACCCATTTCTTTTCCATGGCACATCCTTTTACTGCAGCGGACGTAGCTCAGGTTTTTTTGAAAGAAGTAGTTAAACTTCACGGTTTTCCTTCTACAATTACAATTATTTCAGATAGAGATCAACTTTTCCTAAGAAAATTTTGGAAGGAATTATTTCGACAAGATGGGACCAAATTAAAGTTTAGTACAACTTACCATCCCCAAACCGATGGCCAGACCCAAGTAGTCAACCGCTGTCTCAAGACATATCTTCATTGCATGACAGGAACACAACCTAAGAAATGGCCACAATGGCTTCCATGGGCTGAATTTTGGTTTAATACCAACTACAATGCTTCCGCTAGAATGACTCCCTTCAAAGCCCTTTATGGCCGTGACCCACCCTTGTTGTTGAAAGGATCTACAATTCCTTCAAAGATTGACAGTGTTAATCAACTACAATAGGAGCGGGATGACATTCTTAAGGAGTTAAAAGCGAACCTAGCTAAGGCTCAGAATCAAAACAAAGTTCAGGCTAATAAACATCGTAGGGATGTTGAGTATCAAGTGGGAGATTAGGTATATTTGAAGCTACAACCTTATAGGCTTAAATCCTTGGCTAAGCGCCCAAATGAGAAGTTAGCTCCGCGATTTTATGGCCCTTACCAGGTGATTGATAGAATTGGACAGGTTGCCTACAAATTGGAGTTACCTCCACACAGCAAAATACATCTAGTATTTCATGTTTCACTGTTAAAGAAAACCATTCAGCCATCGACGGATCCTCAACCATTACTAGCTTCATTAACAGAAGATCATGAATTAATTATGTCACCAGCTCAATTACTAGACACACGAACCAACAGTCAAGGAAAGATGGAAGCCCTCATCCAATGGAAAGATCTTCCACCTACGGAGAGTAGTTGGGAATTAGCTGAAGTTATATCCAAGGAATTTCCTGCATTTCACCTTGAGGACAAGGTGAAGCTTGGGGGGGGGGAGTAATGATAGATATAGGTTAATATATTAAAGGAGAGAAAAAACGGGTTAAAAAAAAAAAACAGTTGGCATTGTAATTTTTTTTTTAGGCAGAACAAACTTAGTATATAAGTCTGTCAGGGAAGGCTGAGGAGAGATAGGAAAATAGAGTTTCAGGGTGATCTCGATTGGAGAGAGAAAGGGTAGGATTGGGAAGATTGCTTCCAGCTGTAGTGTATTGTCATTACACTGTGCGAGGAAATTTTGTACTATCTCATAGATACGTCAATTCATATTAATAAGAGGTATATTCAATTTAGCAGAGATATCAGACCTATCATGCTCCCACCTGCTTTATGTTCTTTTTATTTTCTGTATTTTTTTAATACATTTATGATATTTTTGCATACTTAGTTTCGTTAAGAAAAAACGCTTTGTTTCATAACTGAGAAGATTGTCAATTTCCTGTAATAGAACTGATACAGGATAGGCCAACTAACTGAACTGTTTGAGACTTCTAGATTGATGTCAACCTAGTTGGGATATGACCAAGTTGTATTGTTTTAATCCCCAAAGATTAAAGTTCCCCTAACCCATCAGTTTCCTGTTATGTTCCAAATATTTTGGGTCGTTTTGAAATTGTCCTAAACCCACCTGACTGTTGTACTTATGGTTAATTACCCAACCATTTTCTTGACTTTATGTATTTGTGTTTCTGTACAACTACAGGTTAATTTTGAAGACACCTGTAAGGGTTTTCTTGAGGTAGCAAAGGTATGGAAGAATGTACAATTTTTTTTTGTTCTAATACTTTTTTGGTGAGTGTTGATTTTGTACTGCAATTGGGCAGTGTTGAAATAAAAGAGGAATAGGTGTTAAAATAAAAGAGAAATAGGCTGAATCCATAATGTGTGTTAAGCAGATACGGTTATCTCTTTATTTGTAAGATAAATACAAAGACTAAGGAAATAAAAAAAAAATGGGTCTAAGCCCGTTACATTTAACAGGCAGCAAAATATTGATGCATTTAATTGACATCCTCTTCTTCAACTTCTACAAGCATTTCTTCTTCATGGAATTTTCGGAAATTATTTCTAGAACATTTTTTTAATGTAATAGTTTCTTTCACAGTTTTTACTTTACTAATCTCAAGGATTTCAATGTGATACAAATCATGAGATCACATGATTATGGATGGAAACCAGTTATGCCTCATTTTTATGAAATTCAAATTGATTTAAACCAAGGTTTTACATTGGTTGCTGTTTTGTCATGATCCTTGATGTTGAGCATCCTTAATCACATACAGTATTGATCATCGATTATAGATCACAGCCATTTACACATATATTAAACATTATGATTTGATAAATCATTGCATTATGATGAAGAGAAGAAACTACAAAAAGTTTGGAGGATAAAAATCTTTCTTGACAGTTGATATTTTTGCGCAAAAACAAAGGAGAACAATGGGAAAAAACATCCATTGAGAAAAACAACCATTCCCTTATATGTATGTTTGGGAAATCCTTTTAAACTAAAATGACCATGGGCTTTACAGAAAAAATAGAACCCAAATGTCATGTCTTAATTGGTTGCAGATGTTTATTTTTATTCAAGTGCATCATTAATTTGTGTAGTTGTTTAGCAATGATCAATAGTTGTGTATGACAGATATGGTTAATTCTGTATATATGCCATAAATTTTTCTTCCTGGATTTTTTTTAATCTGTTTATTATCTTGTAGTCTCACAGTTTCCAATCTCTGTATGCTAAGTTTGTGAAAAATGTTGTGGACCAACGATCTCTTGTGTATCTGGCTATAGTTTTTTTTGTTTTTACTATTTTGATTATTGATAAAACAGGAAATTAATAATGGATTACAAAAAGAGCAAGGATAATGATTTTTCGTAAACATTAGAGCAAAAACCAACAAACAAAAAGGAAAATCAATGTGACAAAGCTTCCTAACAAAACAGGGCAACTCAATGCATGAGTCTGTGAGAATTAGTGGGGATTCAGTAGAGTAGAAGTTCCGAACCTTATCCTTGCAAGAGGAGAACTTGTTTTAGGATTTCAACCTGTGACTTAAAGGCCAACAAAAGACCTTTTATTTTATATCTAATTTCATTTTTCTGCTAATTTACACTACATATTTTCATATGAAAATCAGACATGTTCACTGCAATCACCATTTTGATTAAGATCTTTTACTTGGAAGAAATTTGACTTCTGATACATTCAAAATCTTCTCGGTGATAGGAAGCTGTGCATCAAACTGTTAGTGTGATATTTGAAGATCCTGGCGTCCAGGAGTTGCTGGTGAAGCTATACCAAAAAGGTAAAATAATTTTTACAATCACCTAGCTGGGTCCGTGTGGTTTACGCTTATCACTTTTACCTGGGATTTTTATTCTTTTAGCAGTATTCCTGTTTTTGAACTCTACGCTTCTGCAATAAATTCATATACTGAAATAGGAAATGCATATTGTCTTTATGTTCAAGATATAATAGGTTGCAAACTATTACAAGTGTTTAAAGCTTCTATGATAATACCTGTTTACAGTTCTTGTACTTGATACTTACTGCTAAGTAGTTGCATTTTTTTATTAACATTGTACTATTATTAAGCATTATCCTGTACAATAACTTCATTGTATGAACAAGAAATTACTATGTTTTCCTTTATATCTTAACAGTTGAATACTATAGCACCTTGTTTAATGCAAAACTTGAGTTTTCATTTCTTTGCATTTATCAGAATGGAGTGAGGGGCAGGTTACTGAGTACTTGGTTGCAACATTTGGTGATTATTTTGGTGATGTAAAAATGTGAGTATATATTTTCTCGTCTATGTAAATTTACTTTGTTCATTTTTCCATGTGCTATTGGTTATTACTTCTGCCACCTTTCTCTGGCATGTGTAGAAACTGTCATCAGATCAGTAAGGATCCACATGCTGTTTTTATAAACTGTTAAAATTTCAAGGTTTAGCAGGAATGTCAAACTCGATGATCCTGCCCTAGATTGTACAAGGGAGATAGAACGTAAAAAAGTGTTATATTATAGTACGAGATGGAAAGTCCCCACCACCACCTGTGTGCGCACACATGTTAGGGCGTGTTTCTTTATCAGAGTAATAGAAGCAAGCATCAAGTGTAGACCAGTTGATTTTATGAATGATTAGAACAAAGTGATGTAAATTTTTTAAGTCATCATGTAATCTTTAAGTAAATTTAATCCTTATTATCCAAGCACAAATATGGTCAAGCTTTCCTATTCTCACTTATACTGAAAGGCCTTCTAGCTTTAGACATAAGTGATACACACATACGTGCGTGAATGTGTGTATTACACGAGAAAAAATAACAAAAATGTCACATTTAAATATATACTATATACATGTGAATTTGTATGTTTGTAGACAAGCCTTATGCCAAAACAGAGACTTCTGAATTAAACAACCAAAGACAAGCCCTATACGTAAAATTCTCCCATTTGATGGAATTTAGTTTCTTTTTTTCTAGATTATTTATGGTTACTTGATTTTATTATTCTCTCGTTTTTACAGTTTACACACTTTTATCTCATTCTGTTATTCCAATGTTTTTTATTATTCTTACCAGTTTAGCTATAAAATTTGCTGTCTCTGTGTACATCATCTGAAGTTTGTTTATGAAGTTGGTTTTGAATGGCTTCTATTGCATTTGTTTGAACTTTGGTTGTTAGATATTTCATTTATTGAGCAAAACTAAGTTTCAACTATCCATATATTCAAGGTATATTGAAGAACGATCTTTTAGGAGATTTGTTGAGGCATGCCTGGAAGAAACCGTGATTGTTTATGTTGATCATCTTTTAACACAGGTTCTGATGTCGATAAAACAATTGTTGGGTTTTATTTATGTACTAAAATTGTGCACATTTTCTTTTAACAGCTTTGTATTTATTTGACTTGATTGTCTCACTTATATTTTAATTGCAGAAAAATTACATTAAGGAAGAAACTATTGAACGGATGAGGCTAGATGAGGAGGTTATCATGGATTTCTTTAGGGAACATATCAGTGTTTCTGTAAGTAACCTTTTAGAAATTTTGTTACTGTTGCTCTCTAACGTGGATATTGTGTCAGTTCCATATCTGTTAATCTTGACACAGCCCAGTTCTTACTTTAATTTCCTTCATGTTGGATTAGAAAGTTGAAAACAGAGTGAGTGTACTTAGCGACTTGAGGGAACTTGCTTCAGCAGAGAGCCTGGATACCTTCACACTCATCTACACAAATATACTTGAACATCAACCCGACTGCCCGGTAAAATTATGCCTAATCAATTTTTGCATTTACAAATGCAAGTATGAGTATTTTATGCAGTTGAATATTTTTTGCGATGGGTTTCGAGTTATTATGTAATTTATCTTTTGCTTAGAAAGTTAACTTCTAAAAGCTTGATATGATTCGGATCTCAATGGAAATTAAGATTTTTCTACCTTGAGGTTATCCTGGTGGATAAATTTTTTATTTTTATTTTTTTGCAGCCTGAAGTTGTCGAGAAACTTGTTGGTCTACGGGAAGGCATTCCTCGGAAGGATGCCAAAGAGGTAAATAAAATTTCCTGTTTATTTTACTTTATTTTAAACTCAAAATATTTTGAAGATAAGCACAATAGTGGAGCATTTATTTGGTTTTTGTTTATTCTTTTGTAATCAAGTTGAGTGCTGGAGTTTGTGAATGTTCTGATTTTAATGCATGACTGTTTCTTCACTGAAGATATTCCCCAACGTATAAATTAACAATTTAACATAGTTTGTACTTTAAATTCTGGTGGATCTATTTGTTGTATAATTTAGCCACAACTTAATGGACTCTATTTATATGGGCATCTTTATGGGGGAACCGGTAGATCCCAGCATCTAAGAGGCCATAACATATTAATTAAAGTTTAATCAGGTAAAATTATCTAATGAAGGCTGGAGGAATGATTGATTTTGTAATTAACAAATGTTATGTTTGTTGAAAAGGTCATTCAAGAGTGCAAAGAGATATATGAGAATTCACTTGTTGACGGAAAACCTCCAAAGGTTGGTTTCGTTTTCCGACGAGTGAAGTGCTTGACAGTATCCAAGGGAGGGATATGGCGCAAACTCACTTGAAGTACGATTCCATTGAGTGATTCATCGGGCTTGTTTTCCCTGTTAAATTATTTGTTCCTTGTGCATAAATCACAAATGTTATGCTGTCAATAGACAAGTTTTGTAAAATTCATTTATATTAGTCGTTAGTTCATGATACCCTTACAGTTTTACCGTTCACCAAATGTGCTCTGACATTTCAAGATTTCCTCTCTCCGCTAATCTTCTTTGCTTAACCATGCAAACTACGTTAGGTTTGAATGTGATCACGAAATATTAAGTTATTTATGTTATTTAGTTTTTATTTTTCATTTCCGAAATGATAGAAATTAGTTTAAGAGGGAGAAATCAAATTGATTATTGGAGTTTCGGTTTATTCATTAATTTCTTGTCATGGATTCTGGTTTGATCTTCTAGTCTTGTTTTTTCTTTTTTATTGTATGACATTGGTGTGTAGTAACTTGGTGTTAGGGTGTGCTAATCTGGTTGGAGACCGTTTGCATCAAATTGGAAAGCATAGTTTAAAAAAAAAATTATGTTATTATGTATTGTCGTGTTACAAAATCTGCCGTATGTAATGAAATACCTTGACAACAACCTGGTGATGGATGTTCTTTGTAGACGGGATGTCTGTCCTTGAAATGATGAGGAGAGTAATTCGTCCTCCTTTTTAATATAATGCTTTTTTATTAATTTTATTTTTTATATAAACAGTTAGGTACAATATATATTTAAGGTAATAATTAAGATAAATGTTTAGGTTTAATATTATTTTTATGGAATTGTAAAGATCTACAAAAGTGTGTGAAATCGGTTGTTAAATTATGAAGGAATATAATCTTAAAATCAAACAAGGATTTGTTTGTAAGACATTTAAATTGAATGTAATAAAGGAACGTAACCTTGAAATTAAGCAGGAATTTATTTGTAAAAGACATTTCGTCATTAAAGTTAATATTAAGGCAAGAGTTATAAGAAGAGATAATGAATCTTAGGATGAGTTTTACTCCTAAATGAGTATAAATCTTAAAAGATAAAAATAAGCAGAAAATATTATATCAAATAATAACTAATTTGAGATAACGTGAAAATATATTTTATAAAGCTCCTATATCAAGTAGTATAAAATATAAAATATCAATACAAGTCTAATTAAAATATTTTGTCTGATATTTATATATTATTAATTATTTTGTTAAATATTTAATCGTCATTGTTAAAGAACTCATTAGATTTATATTACAGATTATTAAATGACACGTGATTTTAATTGTAGAAATAATTTCATGAAAAATCTTGATTAATATCATAGTCATCAATGAAATTTGAACATTATGAAATAAATTATTAGATCTAACGTATTTAACATTTAATTAATCTAGAAACAAAAGTCAACTTCAAAAAAACTAACAGCATAAATTTAAAAATTTAGTAATGATGTATTTAGTAATGATGTATTTAGTAAATTCAATTGAATATTAACTATATTTATTATAAATAATTAAGAATGATTGAAATCAAAAGAATTAAACCTCAATGAAAATAAAATTTAAATTAAAAAATTAACCTAATAAAGTAGAAAGTCATTAAAATTCAATAAGAAAATTATAAAGAAATGTAAATCGTAAAACTTAAAAGTTAAAAAAAAAAAAAAGACAAATCTTTTACCTTCTCAAAATTTATCATGAAATTTTGTTCTAAATATAATATATTAAATTATAATATTTTAGTTAATTTAAACGATTTTATAATAAAAGATTCATTTATATATATAAAAAATATTATTATTATTAAACTATTATAAAAATAGTAATAATAAAAATAAATAATTGTATATCACCGTCCTAAAATTAAGTTTGTGTCAATATATTTAAACAAGATATCTGGATATTATCTGAACATTTCGATGTAATTGAATATCCAATTTAACCAAATATCTCAAAAATTATTCTTAATATCTCGGATAATTACGATGACCTACTCTTAAATAAACAAATCTAGAACCCCACTCTACTTAGTGAATTCACTTCTTTCTATCTGATGCGTTCATTTTAAGTATCAGAGTTGTTTGCAGTTGTCATCTATTCGAAAGAGCTCGCCTAGTGTGATGGGGGTTGATCTCTCTCTAAATCATCTCCCCTTATCAAGAGAAAGGAGCTTGAACTCTCTCCAAAAGAGCTCGCCCTCAATAAAAGATTTTGCCTATTGTATTTGTTAAGACGGGAAAATGAGACCCTTATCATTTTATTTATTTTATTTTTAAGTATAATTAGGTATTTCTAATTTTATTATATTTATTATATTATATTTATTTTATTCTTATGTTCTATTTTATATTTATTTATTTATTTTATCTTTAATTACTTATTGATTTTATTTTATATTTATTTATTTTTATTTATATATTGATCTTATTTTATTTATCTTCAGCGTTAGTTCTGTTTTATATTTATTTATTTATTTATTTTAAATTACACATTGATCTTATTTTGTTTATGTCTAATTGGATCTTGTTTTATATTTATTTTTTATTTATCTTTAATTATAATATAATTTTGTTTTATATTTATTTATTTATTTATTTCCAATGTCCTATTATACTTTTTTATTTACCTTTAATCCTCTTTTATATTTATATTTATTCCTAATTTTGTATTGATCTTGGTTTATTAATTTTTATTATATTATTTAATTAAGTTTTCTTAAAGAATTATATTTATTTATGAAAATTTGATAATATAGATGAATGTTAGACTTTGGGGATTAAAATAAATAAATATCATTTAAAGAATAATTAATTTTAGACTCAGTTATCTTAACTGTAACTATAAAAATAAATTCAAATATTTATAATATAAAATAAATGAAATATGACGATAAAGTTGAAAAGATGATTTTATATATTATTGAAAATATATTATTTTATATCATAATTATTTTCACTTTTATATTTTTACCTCTCTTATGCATATTACAAATAAAAATATCAATTAAATTGATGGAGGAGTCGAATTGAAAAAAAGAAAAAATTATTGATAAATTAACCACTTTTAAAAGAAAAAAGATGATTGACTATATTAATAATTGTTTTTAATAAAGAAACCATATAAATTTGTAGGGTTCTTATAAGTCTCAAATCTAATCTCAAGTATTTTGAATCGAAGAAGTTTAAAGTAAAATTTAGTACTCTATTAAGATTGAATGAAGTTGATGAGTCTAAATTAGAAAGAAAATTAGAAAAACATATTAGGATTAAAACTAAAAATTAACTAAAAGTTTCTGAAGCCTATCACACACACGTATCACCTATTAATTATGCAAATATTTAGTCCACTAGTTTGTATTTCATTGAATAAACATAACAAGTCCTTCTTTACCAAGCCAGACAAAATCAATAATAAATTTATTAAAACGGAATAATATTTTGTTAAACGAAAATATTTAAATAAAACTTTTATTTTTTTCATTTATCATTTTTACATTAATATATAAATATTATATAAAATATATAATTTAATTAATAAATTAATTAAGGATGAATTTAATTCTATTTTAATAAAATTGTGTTAACAATATATGATTAACTAGTTATATATAAATATATATATATATATATATAATATTAATAAAAATAAAATATATTATAAATATTATTTTATATTGGTATATGACCAATAATTTGGTTATATTGAAGGAAAAGATCCGTTAACTTCTCCAATCGACCAAAAGTAGGAGGAATTGAAGTTGTGAGTAAATTCCATGAGAGATATAATTGCCGTAATTTTGTCAAATTCCCCAATTCCGTTGGTATGTTACCTTCAAGTTCATTTGAATAAAGAATGAGAGAGTCTATATTCTTCAATTGAGCCAATGTAGATGGAATTATTAGCTAGATGTAACGTCTGCAACTGTGTCAAATTACCAAGTTCTAGGGATTGAACCTACAATCCGTCCAAGCAAGAAAAAAATGGGTGAAATTCTCGTATTGAATTTAGAACGGGTAATGAGATCAAAAGAATTGCGGTTTGAAAGTGTTTTAAGCAACAACAGATTATATGAACAAGTAACTAGAAGAAGGTGTGATTCAGGTAACAATAGCTTATGGAAGCAGTATGATACAATATAGCAGTTTCAAATTATACGTTACTATTATTTGCTTTCCAGTTACCGTCAAGTTCGTTTGAATAAAGAAACAGATACCGCAAATTCTTCATTTGGCCTAATGTAGAGGGGATTGAACCCGTTAGCGAATTATCATAAAGAAATAACGTCTGCAATTGTGTCAAATTACCAAGTTGTATTGGTATTGAACCTGAATTGGTCAAAGCATAAAGAGATGGGTCAGATTCTTCCATTGACAGAATTTAAAAGGGATAATTCAATCAAGAGAATTTGAAGTTTTGAAAATACGTGAAGCAGCAACTTACCTTGGAGACGATTGTTGGACAAGTCAAGATAGGTGAGGTTTGTAAGTTTGCTTATTTCTGTGGAAGGAAGTCACGTTCAAGTTCTGAATCCGCAACAATTCTTTTGATTGAGGAATCTTCAACAACCAACCGTAAATCCGAGTAACACTTCCAGCTTCATCACAAGAGATACCATCCCAATGACAATGGTCTGAGATATTTGAGTCATCATGCCACCAACCGCTGTGGAGCAGAGCTTGTCGTTCTTGTTTTATGCAGCCACCAATCACAGATGGTACCTGCACCATCATATACAACCCCATCATTACTAAACTCCAAACACACTTTCCCATACTTTATGCATTCAGATTCAAATAACTTCAATTACTGATAAACTAAATGTGTTATAATGCTATTGGCCCTGAAACTCACTGGTTGGTATATATAGTGGCCAATGGACGCTCAAACTGAAACATCCTTTGAATATTCCTCCAAACTTTTCTCCAGTAAAGAAAAATTGAAGTCCAAATACACGGTTTTGGACCAAAATATGATTTATTATGAGGGGCCATATCTGAGGAAATTTATAGTAAAGGTGTGTGGTGTGCATTGCATGTGGAATCTCTATGAGAAATTCCAGTGCTAAGTAGAGGTGTCAAAATGTCAAAATTTGTAATATGATAGAGGAAAGGTGTGGTGTGATCGATTTTATTGACAAGGTAAAAGTCACCCATTCACCTGTCATAAGCATATGGAGTGGACTCTGGTACATATCTTTTAGTCTGAATTAGTTAAATATTATGAGGTATCGTTAGAATCCACGTTGCTGATATAAAAGTTTCAGTTATTTATTATTATTTTAAACTAAAAGATAATTGAATTTATTTTTAATTGATCCATTTATTATTATTTTACTGAATTTTTTTTCCAGTTACATATAACTTCTTTTTTATTATGTTCAATTGCTCAGACAAAATTGGGTCGAGATTTGTCTCAAATTATTCAAAATGATCCTCTAAGAAAATAAAGCACTCTAAAAGGCACATTACTCTCTCCAAATATTCAACCCTGTTAAAACACACATTAGTTATCGCTTGAATTTGTCAAATCTCAATAAGCCATGGTTGGTTCACATACCATGAATTTATTTTATGCTTTTAGTCGTTGGTTCAGCAACCAATCAAATAAATTAGACATGAATGGTGTTTGAATTATGTTACGAACATTATACGAAAAATCGGCTCTATTGATTGACGAAATATGTTGGTACTACAAAAATTTGTCAATAATGTATATTATCCATAAATAAAAATTTCATGGGTAATGTTATTGATAAAATTTAATGACATATGTCTCTTGTCCATCGATAATTGTTGATGCATAGGTAAGCGAGAATAAATTATAGATAATTACCAATAAATATATTTTATGGATAGTTATTTATGAAAATATTTGTAAATAAAACATGATATTGTTCCTGATAAAGTTATAAATATATGGAAGGAAATAAATCGATAAATATATGAAGTGTTAAAGAAATGAGAATAGTTATAAAGGATAATCGAAACTATTGAGAGGTGAGGATCGAGATTAAAAAAATTACATTCAAAGTAAAAATATGAACTTAAAGCAATAAGTTAGGATGTGTAGATCGAAAATACAAGTTATGAATATTTAGGAAATGTTCAAAGGCATGTGCCATTAAAAATGATATTGGATTGAACAAATGAGAAATCAATAAAGGGTATACTATGATGAGTTGAATGTCAAAGATCAAAATATCGAATCTAGAGTTGTGAATCGAAACAAACAAAACATCGAAAAAAAGTTATGTAATAGAGAGATATGCAAAAATAGTTATGATCTCATTACGTGATATGCGCGTTTATAGATATTACATGACAACAAAGTGGGTCAAGGAAAAGGAAATGCAATTATAGGAAAGTAATTGTTCGTGGATTTTTATGTACATTTTATGTATTTTATTTGACTTGATCTTAATTTTATTTTTATTTTTATTTCTTATTTTTATATTTAAGTGTTTTAGCAATTACACAGGAAAATGTAAATAGGGTGAAATAAATGTAATTGAGGGTGATTATCAAATTATACTAAAAAATTTGTATTCTGAAATTGTTATGGGACAAATTTTTTTCAATGAAGTTTTTTATAATTTGGATCGCCACATTTTTATTAATTTCATTTATCATTTCATATTTTATCTTTAGTAATAGATTATATTTATTTTTATGCAATTTACTTTCTCTGCAAATTTATCTTGTGTCTCACATTTACTTTTCAACAATTTATTTTAACTGTACTTTTATTTTTCTTGCAATTTACTTTAAATGTTTCAAATTATATTAAAAGTCCAAATTATATGTGAACGGTCTTTAATTGAAATACATTGTATCTTGATTGCATATAAACCTAAAAAAATTCGTATTTGGTAGTAACAATTAAAAGAATCCACATGTTATTTAAATGATTAATCGTACACTTAGATGTATATTTATTTAATCAAATAGTGAATCATTTACACTAGAAACAAATTGACACACTTAGTGGGACAGAAAATACCAAAATTTTCAAGAGATATTAGAGAATCTACTGTTGAGCATATATCTAGGTATAAGATTGAATGTGAAAATCTTCTAACAAATGAAAATCTAATAATGAAATATTTCCCTAGCTCTTTGACAAAAAATACTTTTACATGGTTCATAACACTTCCTCCTAATTCAATATTTAATTGGACACAATTAGAAATGAGTTTTCATGAGTAATTCTTTAGAGGAGAAACACAAGTTAGTTTAATAGATTTGATGAATGTAAAAATGTATCATAATAAAAATATAGATGATTATCTGAACAGATTTAGGCAGGTACGCTACAAAAAAAATTTATATTATCGACGGATAAGTAGTCATCAGAAAAAAAATGATTACCGACGAATTGCAGAATTTAATCTGTCGGTAAATAAACAATTAATTACCAATGAATATATCTATCAGTAAATTAATAATTTTGGTAAATGGATAATTAGTTACCGATCGGATATATCCGTCGGTAATTATTTGTTCATTTACCGACAGATTTAATTCATCCTCATCCCCGATCTATATTATTTTTAAAAAGATAATTACATTTATAATAAATTAATTGTATTATATATATTTTATATATAAATAAATATACATTTTAATTTATTATATTTATATTAAAATATGTATGTAAAATAAATATTTAATCATTTTTTATTTATATATATAGAATATTTATAACATTATTATTATTATTATTATTATTATTATTATTATTATTATAACACTGTATTCATTGAATATTTATAATAATATTATTATTATAATACTGTATTCAAACATTTGATTATATATATATATATATATATATATATATATATATATATAAGTTAATTCATTTTTAAGTTGTGATTGAAAAATATGAAATATATAGTTTATAGGGAAATATTTAATAAGTTAGTTCTTATTTAATTAGTTTGAAGTAATAAAAGTTTAAATTATCAATTCCTTTTAATCCTTTAAAATACAATTATTTTATTAAGATATAATTTGATATATGATAAATAAGAATAATAAGATAAAAAAATATGACATAATAAAACCTAATAAATATAAATTATAAATAAAATAATATTAGTTACTACTCAGATTTATATAAAATATTTAGAAAAAATTAAAGAAAAAAATTAACTTTGTATTCATCAAATTGATTGAAAAGATTGAAAAATAAAACAAATTGATAAGAGAGATTAAGAAAATATGAAAAACTGAAAGGTAAGAGAGAGAATAATGTAATAAATTAATTGATATAAAAAATTAAAAAATACAAAAAATTTAAAAAGTGGTAGAAGAAAAATAAATATTAATATAAAAAAAATGACATTATATGTAAAAGAAAAAAAAGAAATACTTTTAAAATATTAATATTTTAAAATTTAAATTTAAATATAAATTCGAAATAGGAATGAGATCGAGGTGAAAATTTCACTACCCATCCCCGTCTTCCATTTTTTTTAAAGCAGAAAAAATCTAAACATGTGCCCGTCCTCCGGTCAACTCGGAATTTTGTTTGTCAAATTCGGGGGAAGACAGGTTGATCCTCACGTACAAGTTTAGTTGTGATCCTATGTACAACCATGATGCATGTAGGATAAAGCATGTGCCATTCCTTTAATGACATTCATCCTCTTACTCCAATTCAACTCCTCGGCTTCCACATCATTATTCAAAATGTAAACGGCCTCTTTCCACGTATTGATAGACTAAAAACATACCCCAATTGCGGAGACAAAAGCCGTGGAGCTTTATAATGTTGTTGGGACGTATTTTTGTTAACATCCTGACCTCATTGCGAAAACTCTTGTCAAAAGATGGATTTTCAAATTCCAGTCGGTGGAGTTTTTTTTAATGCAACAATGTTGCCACTGGGCAGTTGTGCTTTATACACACTTTCATATCCACCTATTCCAGTACAGTGCTTAAGGTCAAAGTCTTCAGTTGCTTCAATGATATCCTCAAATGTTATTTTACCATCATAGTTCCATATAGAAAACAAGTCTCCATTCTTTGTTGATACTCCTTCACATTTGGTCTTAAGAATACATCTTGAGAAATACAATGTTGAAAGGAGTATTAAAAGAGTGAAGCAAATGATGGGAAGAACAATTAACATGATCATATGCTTATTTCTGCTGGTTGAAGGCTTTGTTTGGTTGATCAAGTGGCAGATTAATTGTGAAATTTGGCATGTGGTGATTGATTAATGAGTCTTTTTGAAAAGAACAATAGTCTGGTGCCACTGATTTAAAGTCATGATCTTGTGAGAAGTCAAAGGAATTTACCAAAGATTTATAAATGATAAACTAGAAAGTTCCTTGTGCAGTTTACCAAAGATATTATAATTACTAAGATCAAATCGAACAAGTATGGACCTCATTCTCAAAAGAAATGGAATCTGACCAGTAAGAAAATTGTGGTTGAGAGATTAAGGTCACTTACAAAGAAAGAAAGAGACGAGTCAAAATCTCTCTTCACAAGATTTACAAGACATAATCAAGTTTTTAAAGTGCTTTAAGAAACAATTAAATTTTTGTGTTTACAATTTAATTTGTAGAATTGTATTTTTGAACTTCAATTGAATTTTTATTTCAATTACGTTTATATTTCAATTGTGTTTTTAGTTCTTTCGTCCTTGATTTTTAATTTTGTGTTCTTTTTTCAATTAAATTAAATTCAATTTGTTTTTTTTTTCAATTCTTGAATTTAATTTTTGACTTTTTTTCAAATTTTAGTTGCTTTTGTATTTAAAATTCAAAAATCCCCAATTAAATTTGTATAAAAAGAATATGGGAAATAGAGTACAAAATATGAGAAAATAAACACAATTAATATGTCCTTAAAATAATCGACATAAGTTATCTATTATATTATAAAATTTTGGGAAACTTGAAATATTTTGAACTCATGTACGATAATAAGTATCACTAAACCGCACATATTAATACTTACATAAAAGTTGTAAGATATAAGAAAGCAAAAAATCTTTATGACAATGATCTAAATTAAAATGGAACTATCCAGATTCATCAATAGAACAAATGATAGAAAGCATATGATATTTCTTTAGTTAATAAATTATTGCTAAAAGTATGAGAGAAGATAATTCAATATAATATATTTAGGGATAAGATAGTATTTAGATTTATAGTTCCATGGTCAAGTGTAAAATGGATACTTTGGTGAAATGCAATGTGTGTAAAAATCTAGGAAGAAACTTAATCAATGTTAAGGAATGTTTTCAATCATTAGTAATTGAGGACCTTCACTCCTAAAAAAATCCATATAACTAAATCCTCGTTGTCAAGCTTTTCAAATTTTACTTCAAATTTTGTAAACATTATGACACTTAAGTTTTTTACGATCCATATTTGAAAACTCTTAGCCAATATTTATGGTGAAAACCTTACAAATCTAACATTTCTAATAGGAGTGATTTAATTATTGTTAATTTTATTTTCAGTATTTTCAAAATTTGAAATCAATAATTTTAGTATCTCATGTCCATTTTAAGATAAATAATTAATATATATAACCTTAAAAAAAAGTAATGCACTTACCAACAGACAAAATCTAATATATTTCGTTAAAATATATTTTTTATCAACGAATTATTGACGGATAAAAATCCATAACTAATAACATTGTTACTAAATTTTATCTACGAATTTTATATTTTTAATTACTGTCGAATATCTCAATAGAAAAATATCATCAATACTTACCAATTAATGTCAAACTGTCGATAATTACTAATAAATTTATTCATTACTTACAAATGAAATAATTATATTTCTAATATAAATCAACGTTGAATTCTATTACAATATAATTTAATTAACCATATATCCAATATAATTCAACCATAATTCTTATTTATAATTATCAACTACAAGAACTATGAATTTTACCAATTTGCTCACTGAAAACTACATTACAGGAATTTTATGATAAACGTACAAAACATTGAACATTTATCATCAACAATTAATATAACTCAAAAAGAGATAATTAAATGGGTCATCAAAAGTTAATATCCAACTACAAGCATATCAAAATAACAAATATTATATGCTCAATTTTTTTCCCGGTCACATGATGAAGCCTCTCATTTCATGCTTCAAGCTTCTAATTCCTACAAAATATACACAGCATAAATAGTAATCTATTTCTATAATTTTAACTTCTTTAATAAAAGTTAAATTATTTTTAGTATCAATGAAAGAAAAAAAATGGTGAAGTTATTATTGTAAATCGGCAAAAACAACAAAAACATATATTTGATGTATTTGATAAAGCAAAATTTCTTACCAACTCTTCATATTGCCCCCTGGAGTTCATTCTTCACACTTTGTTGAAAGATGACTTGTGTCTTGACTCATCAATTGATGGATCAAAATTTGGTGGAAAGGCGAAGATAAATACAATTTGAAAGTAGAGAGTTTCTCAACCACTTGTTGCATTGATGGCCTGAATTTTGGTTTGGAGTGCAAACATGATAATGCTATCGTTACCACAAGAGTTATATCTTGAATGTCTTTCCCAAGAGGAAGACAAAGACGTGGATCCAAAAGATCTCTCATCAACATAGTTTGAGTGGTTGGGTCTGATAAAGATGAGATCAGCTCTCCTGGATGTCTTCCCATTAATGCTTCTAGAGCCACCACTCCAAAACTATAGACATCACATTTTTCTGTCACAGTCAGTGTATAGGCAAGCTCTGCAATGGACCAAGAAATCAAGAAAGTTAACTTCTTGAAATAGTAAATAGAATTCTCTTGTAATAGAAAATAGCACTTGACCTGGGGCAATGTAGCCATAAGTTCCAACTGCCAAGGTTTGATTTGAAGAATCAGGATCAAGGAGTCGAGCAGTGCCAAAGTCTGAGACATAAGCCTCTAATTGTGCGTTTAAAAGAACATTGTTACTTGTTACATCCCGATGAACAATTGGCGGCGTACAACCATGATGCATGTAGGATAAAGCAAGTGCAATTCCTTTAATGACATTCACCCTCTTACTCCAATTCAACTCCTTAGCTTCCACATCATCGTTCAAAATATAAAATAAACTACCTCTTTCCATGTATTGATAGACTAAAAACATGCACCGATTGTGGAGGCAAAAGCCATGGAGCTTTACAATGTTTTTATGACGAATTTCTGTTAACATCTTGACCTCGTTGCGAAAACTTTTGTCAAAAGATGGATTTTCAGATTCCTTTCGGTGGAGTTTTTTTAAGGCTACAATGTTGCCACTAGGCAGTTGTGCTTTGTACACACTGCCATATGTGCCTGTTCCAATACAGTACTTGAAGTCAAAGTCTTCAGTTGCTTCAATGATATCCTCAAATGCAATTTTACCATCATAGTTCCATATAGAAAACAAGTCTCCATTCTTTGTTGATATTGATTCACATTTGGTCTTAGGAATACATCTTGAGAAATAGATTGTTGAAAGGAGTACTAAAAGAGTGAAGCAAATGATGGGAATAATAATTAACATGATCAAAAGCTTATTTCTACTGGTTTGAGGATTTGTTTGGTGGACCGATTGGCAGTTTGTGAAATTTGGCATGTGGTGACTGATTAATGAGTCTTTTTGAAAAAAACAATAGTCTGGTGCATCTGATTTCAAGTCAAGATCTGGTGAGAAGTCAAAGGAATTGTACGAAAGATTTATATATGATAGACTAGTAAGTTCCTTATGTAGTTTACCAGAGAGATTATTATAACTAAGATCTAAACGATTAAGTACATAACTCATTTTCAAAAGAAACGGAATCTGACCAGTAAGAATATTGTGGCTGAGATTAAGGTCACTCACACAAGCAATGTTGGAAGTTAGGTTTCCTTTAAACAAGTTGTGGCTCAAATCAACTACAAAATAGGGACATTTCATAGTTTTTAATGGGATTGTGCCACATAATTGATTTGATGAGAGATATAAAGAAGACACTTTCTCCATTTGAAAAAGTTTTGGAGGTATCAAACCCGAAATCTTATTATGCGAAAGATGCAAAACTTCTAATTTGGACAAGTTCACTAATTCTTCAGGTATATGACCATCTATTTGGTTTGAATCAAGGAACAGGTGTACCAAATTTTCCAATCGACCTAAAGTAGAAGGGATTGAACCGTTGAGGAAATTACTTGTGAGGTATAACATTTGTAAACTTTGTAAATTTCCAAATTCTACTGGTATAGGACCAGTAATTTGGTTATATTCAATGTATAAATACTTCAAATTCTCCAATTGACCCAAAGTAGAAGGAATTGAACTTGTAAGTGAATTATGTGAGAGATGTAATGTCAATAAATTTGTCAAATTCCCCAATTCTGTTGCCACCCTACCTTCAAGTTTGTTTAAATTAAGATAGAGAATCCACAAATTCTTCAATTGACCTAATGTAGACGGAATTGAACCGGTTAACGAATTATTAAGGAGAGACAACGTTTCCAGTTGTGTCAAATTTCCAAGATGTGGTGGTATTGGACCTACAATTGGATCAAAGTAAGAAAGAAACGAGTCAAAATTTGCAAGATATGATCAACTTTTTGAAGTGTTTTAAGGACGAGTTTAATAGAAGTGAAAGAGTGAGGAAGACTAAAAAAAGAGTGAAGAAAAAAAGATATCAGTGATGAAGTTTTCTCTAATTGACCAAAACAAGGAATTGATTTTTTGAGTAAATCACTTGAGAGATATAGTTGTTATAAATTTTTCAAATCTTCCTATTATTGATTGGTACGTTACGTTCAAATTTATTCGAATCAAGAACGAGAGCTTTCAAATTCTTCATTTGACCCAATGTAGTCGGGATTGAACCTGTTAGCAAATTGTTAGAGAGACCTAACACCTCCAATTGTGTCAAATTACCAAGGTGCGGTGGAATAAAACCTGCAATTGGGTTAAACCACGAAAGAGAAGGGTAAATTCTTCCATTGATAGAATTTAGAATCAAGAGAATAGCAAGTTCTAAAAGTGTGTGCACCAACAACTGACCTTGGAGACTATTGTTGGATAGATCAAGATCGGTTAGGTTTGTAAGTGTGCCTATTTCCGTGGGGATGCTTCCCGTAAGACCCATTCCTTCGAGAAATAAAGATTCTAAATGGGGTAAGGCAGTCACGTTCAAGTTCTGAATCCGCAAAAATTCTTTAGGAATCTTCAAAATCCAACCGTAAATCCGAGTAACACTTTCAGGTTCACCACAATAGATTCCATCCCATTGACAATAGTGTGAGATATTTAGGTAATCATTCCACCAACCACTGCGGACCAAAGCCTGTCGTTCCTGATTTATGCTGCCACCAATCACAGATGGTACCTGCAACATCATATACAACAACATAATTACTAAACTCCAAACACATATTCCCATACTGGATTCAGTCAGATTCAAATGGCTTCAAGAACTGATCAACTAGATTTGTTATAATGCTATATTGACCATGACACTTCTTCATTGGTATTTATAGTAGTCTCCAGTAGGTGCTAACTCAGAAACATCCTTTCAAAATTCTGTTTAACTTTTTTTCTAGTCAGGAAAATGGATGTCCAAAGACGCGGTTCTTTCCCAAAAGAATTATGATATGATTGGTTGTAGGGGGGCCATGTTTGTGGAAAGATAGATGTGGAATCTCCATGAGAAAGTGCAGTGCTGACTGATACACTCACTGCCCCTTCCTGCAATCATTCCATGCCTTCATCAAAAATCAAGATCTGCAAAAGAAACTTTTATACCATGTATTCATGGCTTCTTAAGTGCTTCTGTCGGAATTAATGAAAAACTTACTCATTTTAAAACAATGTCAAATGGAAACATTTAATTAATAACAAACAGGAAATTGTAATAAATAGAGTAAAAATCTAATTGATAATAATATGAAACTTAACATATAAAATTAATAAATGCACAAAGTTAGAGACAATGATATTAGTTTATAACAGTATACAAAAACAAGCTTAGATCTTGTAAAAACAAGGTACACTTAGATCTTGTAATCCTTAAGCCATGAAAGATAGTTACATAAGCAAAATCTCACATCACATGATCCCTGAAGGTAGTGGCAGATTTAAATTAAAAAAAATACAAGATTTTCAAACTTTCCACTCTATAAAGTGATGTCTTCCTCCGCAGCTTGTATATCTCTTAAAATTTTAGTGAAAGAGTCCTCCTCTTCTCTTTCGAAATTTGAAAAATCCATTTGGGACCAGTAATCCAAATCTTTTAAAAATTCAAGGTCTGTCAAACTGTCTAATATGCTCTCAGAAGTAGGAATCTCATTTAAAAATGTCTTGTCGAAACTTTCTAGTAGAGAAGTATTATCTTCCGATGTCCTCTTACGTTTCTTTTCCGTATCCCCTTTAGATGACTTGTCTGAATCTTGCCTCTTAATTATTCGTTCTCCATTTGTCTTACTGGGAGAAATTTCATGGTTGTTTTCTTTATAAAACATTTGCTTTACAGGGTCAACCATAACCCTCTTGGTTGAAGTTACATTGTAAGAAGGAACAACTACCTCCTCATTACATGTTGCAATAGGGGAAATCTCATGAGGAGGTGATACATGTGTATCGCTATGAAAGGAATGAATTATGGGGTGTGTTCTTGAACCTGAATTAGTTGAATTTTGTGATACATTGAGTCCACTATTCCCAACTAATGGTTGAGTTGATATAGAAGCTGATCCAAAATCTATTTTATTGTTAGGAGAAAGTGGTCGCTTGGTGCTCAGACCTAAAAATGGGATAAAGTAAATATATAATTGATGACATAATAAAAACTTACTTAAACAGAAACATAAACAATTATACCTTTGATTTGATTTTTCTTCCCGGGTGGTCTACCACGAGGTTTCTTTATTACAATCGACCCATCTATGACTTCAGCCTCTTTTCTCTTCTTGTCAGACACTTTCACGACAGGTGATGAGAACTTTACAGTGTTTATGGGTTCAGGTGGCCATGACATATTCTGGGATGAGAAGTTTACTGTGTTTGTGGGTCTAGATGGAGATGGTACATTCTGCGCAGAGAAAATAATACCAGTATACTTGCCTGAAAAATAATGGGAAAAATAGGTAAAATATAAAAATATAAGAAAAAATTAACATTACTCAATTGACGTATAAACATATAAGAAAAAAATTAACAATAGCAAATATGTTAATTCATTAAGCAATAACTGGAACAGTGTACCCCTGGATTTTTTATCATAGTTGTCACCGTATTCATTGGTGGTTGTCTCACAGTGTACGCGTGGACTACTGTTTTCTGCATGTTTTGCCAAATCATTTGCATTCTATTTTTCTCTTGTATCACCATCATCTTTTCTTGATCAAGCAAGGCCTTCTGCTTCTTCAACAATATATATTCATCAAACATCTCCTCCAAATTCAACACATTCTGGGACACCAAAAAAGCAAAAATGCACCCGATGAGTGCGAGGAGAGAATGAATATTCATTTATTAAAATTTGAAAAAGAAAAGAAAATAATATGAAAGATTGGAAATAAGTGAGACCAACGGTGGATAAATTATTTTAGGATAATAAATGAATAAAAAATAAAAATACTTAAAAAAATAAATATACAAACCCGAATATTTAATTTGGATTGACTAAAATTATAAATATACATAAATTATAAATTTTATAAAACTTTGGAGGGATCATGACTCTCTTAACTCTAGGAGTGTCAAAATAGGTTTAGTCTGATGCATTAGCCCGAAAGACTGGAAAAATAGGCTAGACTATGCTAAAAAATTTATGGCCTAAATAGAACTAGACAAATTTTGATCCGACCTATTTAGGCCAAGTTAGCTCATAGGCTTATGGGCTGACTCGTTTTATAAAATAATAATTATTTTACCAATAATATTATTTTTAAAAATAATATTATTTTATTAGAAAGTATATAGATAATAAACTCTAAACATAATATTCATTTGTTGGTCATCTCCTCTCTCCTCTTTGTTGTTATTCTTGTCAGATTTGCTTTTAATGACTAATAATTTAAGACGACATATTTTTAATGTAATATATTATGTTGGATAATAAGACTAGTTTGTTGAAGTAATGAAAATTTAACTCTAAAATTTACTGAGATGTACTTGTTATATGCATTATTAAGCATGATATTCAATTTAACTATATTGAGTACGAGAGAGTTTGGGAGGTAAATAAAGTTTTGAATCCTAATTTTAAACCAATTACTAGAAATACCTCAATTACAGTTGTTTATAACATCTATTTAACAAAAAAAACAAAAAGTTAAAAGATGTGTTATCTAATATATTTTGGGAGTGTATGCTTGACTTCTAATGTATTATAACAACTCATTTTTATGATTTTATACATTTGATTTTATTTTGCTTGGGTAGATTATTAGGCATGGCAACGGGCGGGCGGGGCGGGTTTTGCCTCCCGATCCCCGTCCCCGACTTTTAACCATCCCCATACCCGCCCCGATCCCGTCGGGGTTAAAAATTAAGTCCTCATCCCCGTCCCTCGTTCTCGTCCAGTCCCGATCTATATTATTTTTAAAAAGATAATTACATTTATAATAAATTAATTTTATTATGTATTTTTTATATATAAATAAATATTTATAATTTATAATTATTATTAATTAAATATACATTTTAATTTATTATATTTATATTAAAATATGTATATAAAAAATATTTAATTATTTTTTATTTATATATAGAGAGAATATTTATAACATTATTATTATTATTATACTATTCAAATATTTGAATACTTATACCATTATTATTATAATACTGTATTCAAACATTTAATTATATATAAGTTAATTCATTTTTAAGTTGTCATTTAAAAATATAAAATATATAATTTATAAGAAAATTTTAATAAGTTAATTCTTATTTAATTATTTTGAAGTAATAAAAGTTTAAATTATCAATTTCTTTTAATCCTTTAAAATACAATTATTTTATTAAGATAAAATTTGATATATGATAAATAAGAATAATAAGATAAAAAAAATATGACATAATAAAACCTAATAAATATAAATTATAAATAAAATAATATTAGTTACTACTAGGATTTATGTAAAATATTTAGAAAAAGATAAAGAAAAAAAATTACTTCGTGTTCATCAAATTGATTGAAAAGATTAAAAAATAAATAAATTGATGGGAGAAATTAAGGAAATGTAAAAAACAGAAAGGTAAGAGAGAGAATGATGTAATAAATTAAGTGATATAGAAGATTAAAAAAGACAAAAAAATTAAAAGTGGGTAGAAGAAAAATAAAAATTGGTGAAATATATAAAAAAATAACATTATATGTAATAGAAAAAGAAAAGAAAATACATTTAAAGTATTAATATTTTAAATTTTAAATTTTAAATTTAAATATAAAGTCGGGACGGGGACGGGGACGGGGTCGGGGTGGGGATTGCATTACCCATCCCTGCCGCCCCCGACTTTTAAAGCGGGAAAACCCGAACCCACCCCCGCCCGCTCCGGTCAACTCGGGTTTTCCTCGTCAAACTCGTGGTGGGGACGGGTCGATCCCCACTCGGTACAGGGTTTAATTGTCATCCCTAATTATGAGTTAATTTGAAATAAACAAATGAATGACATTTTTTTTTCAAACAAAATAAAAAAATTTAATTAGTACAAAAATGATTCGTTAGCCGTTGACTAGTGACGGATCTTGACCATTGATTTTGGGGGGCAAATAATATATTATTAAAAAATAATAAATAAATATAAAAGGGTAAAAGAAGATGAAAGGGTGAGAGAATAAAATTGTAAATGTATAAGTAAATATATAAAATGATCATTAAGTTTGAAGAACAAAATCATAAATTATATAAGAGTTACAAAGCTGACTTGGGAGGATAAAATTATAAATATAAGTAAATATATTAAAGTTTGGGGGTCAAAATCATAAATTATATGGGAGTTACAAAACTTTGCGAAATAAGTTTGAGACTCAGCGAGACTAACCTCTTTTGTTGGCAAACCACCAAAGAGTGACGAAGCTTCACTACGAAAAGTGATGCATGTTTGGAAGAGTTGGTTGCGATACGAGATATTGATCAACGATGAAAGGAAGTACAGTTTTGAAGTTACCCATTCTACAAGTCTTGAAATAAGATTTTACCAAAAGAAAGATGAAACCAACAAATATGAGAACCAAATAAATAGTGAGAGTTAAATAACTCATGTAGATTTAAAAAGGGAAAATAAAGTCCAAGATATAAAAATTTCAAATTTAGTTTGATTTTTTTCTCTAATTTTTTTAATTTTCATTTTCATTTTAATAATATTAATATTATATATTTATATACTTTAATTATAATTTTGATT